AAAAAAAAACATCACTTGCAGGTCGGTGATGAAGCATGCACTTTTTATCAAGAGTCAAAGCAAAGGACAGAGTGTATTTCTGAGCACAAGGGCAAGAATCAGAGGGTCCCCTAGAAGGATGCCATGCCTGCAGAGTTGCTTTCTAATGGGCAAGTTCAGAGCAAACCCAGAGAGCAGTACTTGTGCCAGGTCTGACTTAGGGAGGGACAAAGCCTCCCTAAGGCAGAGTCCTCTCTAGGACATGGTTCTCAAAAGGGGTCCCAACGAAGCAATATTACCATCGTCTCAGAGCTTATAAGGAATGTAAATTGTTGGGTCCCACGCCAATCCTATTGCATTAGAAACTCATGGGGGGTGGGCCCAGCATTCTGTGTCTGCAAGCCCTGTAGGTGACTCGGATACATACTAACACTGGAGAACCACTGATTTGGGAAAAACCTGGCCCTGAGCCAGAGCACACTAACTCAAAAGCAGGTTTCTTCTACCAAGAAAGAAGACCATTTAAAAAACTCTGCACCTATTGAGAGGATCATATGGTTCTTGTCCTTTCTTTTATTGATGTGATGAATCACGTTAATTGTTTTGTGGATATTGAAACAGCCCTGCATCCCAGGTATAAATCCCACTTGGTCATGGTGAATAATTTTTTTAGTGTATTATTGTATCTGGTTGGCTAATATCTTGTTGAGGATTTTTGCATCCATGTTCATCAGGGAAATTGGTCTATAGTTCTCCTTTTTAGTGGGGTCTCTGTCTGGTTTTGGAATCAGGGTAATGCTGGCTTCATAGAAAGAGTTTGGAAGTTTTCCTTCCATTTCTATTTTTTGGAACAGCTTCAAGAGAATAGGTGTTAACTCCTCCTTAAATGTTTGGTAGAATTCCCCTGGAAAGCCATCTGGCCCTGGACTCTTGTTTTTTTGGGAGATTTTTGATTATTAATTCTATTTCCTTACTAGTTATGGGTCTGTTCAAATTTTCTATTTCTTCCTGTTTCAGTTTTGGTAGTGTATTTGTTTCTAGGAATTTGTCCATTTCTTCCCTATTGCCCATTTTATTGGCATATAATTGCTGATAATATTCTCTTATTATTATTTCTGTGTTGGTTGTGATCTCTCTTCTTTCATTCTTATTTATTTGGGTCCTTTTTCTTTTTGATCAAACTGGCTAGTGGTATATGTATACAATGGAGTATTACTCGGCAATCAAAAAGAATGAAATCTTGCCATTTGCAACTATGTGGATGGAACTGGAGGGTATTATGCTAAGTGAAATTAGTCAGAGAAAGACAAAAATCATATGACTTCACTCATATGAGAACTTTAAGCGACAAAACAGATGAACATAAGGGAAGGGAAACAAATATACAAACAGGGAGGGGGACAAAACAGAAGAGACTCATAAATATGGAGAACAAACTGAGGGTTACTGGAGGGGTTGTGGGAGGTGGGGTGGGCTAAATGGGTAAGGGGCACTAAGGAATCTACTCCTGAAATCATTGTTGCACTATATGCTAACTAATTTGGATGTAAATTTTAAAAAATAAAAAATAAAATTAAAAAAAATTCAAGACTTAGAAAACAAGTTAAAATGTAATTCCCACAGAGCCATGTGACAGAACTCTGTACTACTGACTCCAGGGAATAGGCTTTCCAGGAAAGCTAAGCACTCCAGAGGGATTTAGGAGGTGGTGGCCCAGCTCTTCTAGCTTGGGGATGGTCTGCAGGAGGGCACAGCCTCTTCCTGAGCAAAAAATTTTAAATCATTCCTTTCAGTTTATAGTCTTTTGGCCAGCAGTTCTCTTTAAAGTTTTATTTTGGTTACTTCACTGGGAACAATGTTAACTCTAACTTGTTCACCTGGAACACCTGTCCTACTCTGGTCTTTCCTGCTCATCTTCTTGAAAAAAAAAAAAAAACCTAGGAAAGAAGTTATTAGCTTTTGAACTGAACTAAAGTGAGTTTGGACAGAAGGAGGACATGCCCTCAGGAATATGGTGACCAACCAATAAAGGCTGTGAATGCTTAGTTTCAAAATTAGGCTTAAATTCCCATATCTATTTGTTCTTCTATAGTCTAGAATGTCATCTCCTTGGTTGGAGTGTGTCTTTTCTGGGACCACCAGCAATAGCACTCTTGCCTCTAGCTCACTACCACGGGTCATGAGCAGAGCTGGATAGCTGCATAGTCAGGACTTCAGCTGTGGCACAGAGTAGCACATCTCCTGTTCACAGTAGTCACATGATGTGTATGTACACACCCTTGGAAAGCAATGGGAGATCATCAGAGGGACCTTTTTCAAAATGGTATGTTGGATACTGGTGTGGCTAGAGCCTGGTTGAACTCTGTAACTCAGAGCTCTAAGCTCTGTCAATATGCTTCGAGCCCTATCTGGGTCATCCTGACAAACAAGACCTCTCCAAATGAGTGCCTGACAATTTCTATCAAATGCTGTTTTAAAATAAGAATCATAGTTTATGAGTAATTATAATTTTTCCATTTACTCCAATCTCTCAGACTTAAGTGTTAGAATGCTCACAGTTACTGACATAATTCATTGCCTTGTTCATTTCTCATATATATGTCCATGTGCCAAGAAGTTGCAACTTCTTGTAACTTGGTCACACCAGCACTGTAAGGATGGAGGGACTGCTGCAGCCCAGGTACAACACTCCTACAGGTGACAGATGGATCAGCCGCAGGTGGACGGGTGGTCAGGAAGCCAAGGGAGTTCTGGCTACATGGTTTCCCAAGATAGGGCAACTGCATGTAAAACATTCCTGTACCACTTTTACTGTTGCTCCAGCAGAACCTGCAGGCCAGTGCTGTCACCAGGCCTGAGAATGGCAAATCCACTCTGATGAGATCGTGGAGTGCATTAAGAGGTCTGTCAGTCAGTTGTTAGCTCACAACCCTGGGAGTGCCCATCTGCAAAAAAAATCTTTCCTCAGGGGGAAGAAGGGTAGAGAGGGAGCCAGATTATGCACAAAGGACTGCTTCCTGCCTGTGAACCAATCCTTACTTTCAGTTTTGGCACTTAGTGCTCAAAGGCAGACAACCCAGGAAGCAGCATACTCACAGGCCTGGCCTGGACCTCCCAAGATGGCCCAGTGTCTGAGCCCTGTCGGGCTCAGCCCTGTGGAGGCCTGTGGAGACAAATCCTATGATGGTCCCTTAGCTGCCTAGGGGAGGGAAAACTCCCTTAACCTCAGCTTCCTTCACCAATGCCTGATGCAGCTGATTTCCCAAGACATGTCTAGCATACCCAGGTCCTTTACAAACCTGTGTGTTGATGATGCAAAGAGATGCAGGGTGCTCTACAAAAAGATTTCTTTCCATAGATGAGGGTTGGACAACATAATTCTTAAAATCAAACTTTGCTTAAGAATTTTTTCACTAAATTTTGTTTCTTTTTAGTCTCTGTTCACTTCACTTGGTTTTAATTCTCTGACTGTGAAGGCTAAGAGGAAGGAAATGTCCAAATGTACAAATCTTAAGTTCTTAAAAGAAAGGAAGGACTTTAAATATATCTCTTAGAATATATGACTCCACTTCATGAGCCTGGATATCTAACTAAAAAAAAATCACCAGATCAATTTTGGTAACCATCTATTCTTTCTTCTATGACATTTTGTCAAGAACCCAGGACTATGCCTGGGCTCTTCTTGTCCTGATAACCAGGGCTGTGGAATGGTGTCAGGACACTGTGAAGGACATCGTTCTCCAACAGTCAGATGTGGGCCCTTCATAAGCATGAAGTCTCCCAAGCATTTAAAGATAAACATGGAATTGATCGAGTGGCCTAGGATCCCACACAGATCCTTCTGTGTGCAGAGCAGGAGATGAGGGCTGTTCACAGCAGCTTGTTCTGCATTCACAGTGTCTACGAGTGGGGGAAGCAGATAACAGAAAACAAGTCCAGGCATAGTGTGGGAAGTTGTAAGGCAGCTGGAATCTATCACATGGGCCTTCTCTGTGCTCAGACTATACTCTGCTTTGGGTTTGTGTTGACAAATATTTCCAACAAGCGGATTTAGAACACCATGAAGAAGTCCAAATAGGTGATATTTAGAGTGGTGACAATCAGTTCAGTCTGGCCTGCCCTGGATCTTTCAAACAGAAGCAAATAAGCTTTTACCAGATCATTAAAACTCAATGGAAAGGGTAGGTCCATTACTCCTGTAATCCATTCAGAAAACCAGCTATTTGCCTGTTCAGATTCCCTTGTCTTTGTTCACATCTTCTCTGCTTATCAGACCACCTGCCCTCTATATGAGTCACTCCCGTCCTTCCCTCACACCCTAAGGCCCTCGTGGCTCTGATGGCCTGTTTTGATCCACTTTGGATGCTTTGCCTGTATCTGCCTGACTAGGAAATGTGAACCTGGGATTGAACTGCTAGAACCACACGTGAGGGTTGATGCATTTCCACCTTCTGCACTAGCTCTCCATTGGGCATTAGATGGGAACAGTGAGCCAATTCCTGAGAAACTGTCTAGGTAGTACTACTCCTAGTGCCTAACTTATACCATTTGCCCCATTTGTTTTCTGATACATTAAAATACATCTGGTTTTCCTACATGAATTGGATTCATCAATACTACAGGCACATATTTTGGTATATTTTTCCCCTTAAAGAGGAAGTTCTTGTGAGCCAATTTTCTAGGAAATGTAATGGAAGAGAAAAAAGTAAAAGGCATCCCCCTAAGAAGAGTTCCATGTCAGTTCCTACCACCCAGTCTCTACAGGAGACAACAAAGCCCATCTTCTGGGTTGTCATGTTGCAGATGTCACGTTGGTGAATATGATGTGGAGGCTTCTTGAAAAAATGCCAACAAGGAGCCACTGACTCCAGATTGTAGTCAGCAACCTGGCTTGGGATACAGAGGCTTTTAATGGCTGCATGGCTCCTCCACAGCACAGTTTACCATCTGCTCATGAGAGAAGCACTGGACTCCATCCTTCTAACCCTTCTCCCAACCCAGTCCCAAGAAGTGCAGCCTACCTGGCATGATGACATCAGGAAATCCCAATTTTCTTGTAATTGCCAATCCCCTATTAAATATCATGGGGTTTTCCCTCCTAATCTGTTCCATATCTCCACGGAGAAGCTGCAGAGAGATGATAAGACCTGCAAAAACATAAGCATTTTCTTACTCAGAACCACATTTCCACCCTGTTTTGTAGTACTAGAAATGACATAAAGAGTCACATTTTTTTTCAGGAGGAAAATATACAAAGTTTAGCATTTTTCTTGAGAAAAATTTTGATGTAGAAAGTATATACTATTCTGAAGAAACATTCTAGAAAGCTATTTAAGAAAAGATAACCTCAACAACCCAGAGAACTAGTTTATTATATACAGACCGAGGTCTGGGAGACTGAGTTGCCTTTTTCTCTGTTCCTCAGCATCTAGCCCAGGGCCTGGCTGGACCCTAGCAAACACTCACTGAATGGGAGGGTTGAACTACATAAACCATACATTTAGGAACCCAGAGAAATCTACAGAAACAATGGCAGACTAGAAACAAAGAAGACCCTGTGCCAGGATGTCCCCCCAGCTGAAAACGAATGAGCTAAGAGGTGCTGTTTTATGCTAGGAGTATGCTAAAATGTGGGAAGCAACTTGCTGGTTCAACCTTGCAACGGCTTGTAAAGACAGCAGCAGAGCAGACATCACGTTCCCTTCAGGGAACCACTGCACTTCAAGGAAAAGGGATGTTTTGTGGGGCTAACTGAGCTTTGCTTCAGACTATAAGCTTCAGATCTTCCAGATGATCCCAAAAGCTTTGTTCAGAACATGGGAGAACCTGTGTCCCCAGGTGAGCTGGCTTCCACTTCATTACTTGTATGTACCCTAGGAGTTTTGCACAAAGTAAGAATCTCCTGGAAACCATCCTCTCCCCTGCCCCCGAGGGTTACTACTGTAGCCACTGGCTAGAAGGCTGGGAGGTCAAGCCCAGATAGAGTTAGGAAGTGATTCTGAGACTCTGTGAATGAGATTAGCTGCTAATAGGATGATGAAGATGCTGATCTATGTGTCAGCAGGAAGCAAACCCATCAATCTAAAAACCTGGGAATTATGATAGTTAGGATTACCAGAAAAGTAGTGGCTAGAATGGAGACAGTGACAAGAGTTGTAGGATAAGAATGGTTTGGAAATGGAGAGGAGAGAGGGAATGGAGAAGTGGAGAAAGAGAGATGTCACACAGAACAGTCACAGGCACTCTATCTGTCAGATCAAAGTATCCTAGTAACAAGGAACATGTACTCTCATAGCTGGGCTGGGGGGTCATCAGGGTTCCACTGCAACTCAGAAAGAACCTCAAGATGATCTTATTGCTTTGGCCAAATTCATGTACCCCAAGAACCCTGAGATTGCACATATGATGTCCCAGGTATCATTAACAATGAGATCACAGTGCTCTGGAAAGCAGATATATGGTATTCCAGTTGTTAGTCTGGTTAATGTTTAGGTTTTGAACACCCTATTTTTTTTTATAGCCTAATTACTTGGTGGACTCAACTACAAATAACTTATGAGCCTGAAAGGCTGGAGGTCAGAATCCAGATCACAATAAACTCTTCAGAAGAGAGCAGCTTGTGAGGTACTCACAACCCCTCCCCCACAGCCCCAGCACATTTATCTGTGGTATCTTTACATGGCTATCAGATATTATCCTCTGGGCAAACAGGGGTCCACCATCCTAGGAGACAGCCTAAACTGGAGCAGATAGCTAAGGATCAGACAATTCCCAGAATCTGAGATGATAGAGGGCAAAGGAAAAGAACATCAATGGGTTCATCCTTCTCACTTGGCACTGGCAAGGATTATTCATTCAAGTGCCCACTGACTATCTTTCCTACCTTTTATCTCATTTTCTGAGCAACCAAATTGGCCTAGAGATGCAAAGTGCAACTTGTGAGGATGCAGACTGAAGACACTGGGAGAGGTGCATCTAGCTTTTGAGCTATCCAAAAGGAATTCTGAATAGCTGCTCTGAAGTGTGACAAGCAAGAGGAAAAGGGCTTCAGTTTATGCAAGAGAACACATGAAAAGGCACATGAAGGATGAAAGAAGTCACCAATGGAGGCTATAAAACTTCATCTGCTTTTGTAGAAATTGGGATCCTGGAATATGTGAGTCCTCTTCCTGGTTCTGAAGCCCTGAGTGATTGAGGCGCATGCCAAATAATGCTAAGCATGGTCCTCAGGACAAAAGAGCCTCTGTAAATAACTCAGAAAAGTGACCCACTCGCCTACCCAATATGCAACCAGTCCTTTAGCAACACTTGCTCATCTACCTACCAATCACCTGGCTCTCAAGCCAAAGAACTTGAAAGTAACTAATTCTATTACAATTTCTCTGTTAAAATGATCTCTGACACAAGAAAACTGTTTTCTTACTAAATTTCATCTCAGATTAAGACTGTCCCATAAAAATATCCCACACATTTGTGTGGAATACTGGAAGGTCAGCAACCTGGCCCTTGTCCCTCTCAACCCCCATCTCTGTGAAAAGATGAGTGAAGATTAATAATGTAAATTAATCCCAGCCCAAGAAACATAAAGAAAGCTGTATAAGTCATTAAAAAATACATAGAAAATTAATTTCTCAACTGTTTTGTTTTCACTTGTTTTTAATGATCTTCATGCTACTGGAATTACTAAAAGTTACTTCTGTGGCTACATATCTAAGAGGCCAATCTAAGGGAGTTAGTGATGAATGATAGTTTTAGTCTCAGCACCTAAAACTAATGTAGTAATTCCTTCTGAATTTTGTATGATTTAACTTGAAGGGAGAGCACTACTGAGTTCTGAAACAGAACTGCCAAGGCAATTAACTGTCCACAATGTTTAACAAAGATGGGTGACAGTTTATAGCAAAGTTAATTTTTTATAATGACGTGTCTTTAATTAAGGAGGCTAATAAAGACCTGAACTATTCCTTGAGTAATCTGTGAAATTTTTTGACATGAAGACCCTAAAATCCTGTAGTAGAAAACCCATGCTGAGAAGCTTGGCAACAGAGTGGAAAGCCAGTGGCCTGGAGTATGGAAACCAGGGCTCCCTGCTTTAGCCATGAAGTCACTTCATTGGGCTTCAGTTTCCTCATTTATTTAATGAAGGAGTTTTGAAACAGGTAATTTCCAAGATCTCAACAGCTTCCAAGTCAAGCCTTACCTAGAAGCCATCAGACACACACTTCAAAGAGAAGCAGCCTATTTCTCCTCCTGGATTTTCCACAAGTACATGGAGACCTCTAACTGGGACACCCTAACTAAGGCTATATGAAGTCTGGGGTGCCTTTCTAACACTGTTTGAATGGCCAGTGTTTGTGAGTTCCAGACAAAAACCACAGACACTGAAGATGGCACCATCCCTGCTCACTCTAGGGAATGAGACACAATTCAGCATCTTAATCTGGTGAGGTAATGGGGGAAACTACTCTTTCAGCTGTTTTTTAAAAATTTTTATTTATTTTTTTTAAATTTTTTTTTTGTCTATTTATTTTTTGAGACAGAGAGACAGAGCACAATGGGGGAGGGTCAGAGAGGAGAGGGAGACACAGAATTCGAAACAGGCTCCAGGCTCTGAGCTGTCAGCACAGAGCCCCGACGCAGGGCTAGAACTCACGGACTGCAAGATCACGACCTGAGCTGAAGTCGGCCGCTTAACCGACTGAGCCACCCAGGCGCCCCTCTTTCAGCTGTTTTAAAAAGTAAAGCCATTACTTACCATCTTTTCTTCTTCTAAAATGTTCTCCATGTTTTTTTTTTTTAAAGTTTTAGCTTGGGTGTTAGCCCAGGAGCTGCCCCATCTCAGCTGGTCACGACCAGCAGTCCAGAGTTCGAGCTCCCTGCTGGCCAGGTTTCAAGGCTGATGTGGCTCCCGGAGCCTGGGGAGGCTGCTCACTCGATTCTGCTCCCCTCTCTCTCTGCCCCTCCCCCGTTCATGCTCTGTCTCTCTCTGTCCCAAAAATAAATAAAAATGTGGAAAAAAAAATTTTTTTAAAGTTTTTAATGTTTATTTGAGAGAGAGAGAGAGAGAGAGAGAGAGAGAGAGAAGTGGGGAGGGGCAGAGAGAGAGGCACACAGATCTGAAGTAGGCTCCAGGCTCTGAGCTGTCAGCAGAGAACCCAATGCAGGGCTTGAACCCATGAGCTGGGGGATCATGACCTGAGCCTAAGTCAGACACTTAACTGACTGAGCCACCCAGGTTCCCCAAAATGTTCTCATGTTTTAATCATATCATGTCCCAAGAACTTGTATCCAAAGGTAACTCTTTACAAATCAAGTACAGTAAATAAAGCAAAGAACACCACAAACATGGATATGAATGGGAGTTTTCCAAATTACCAGTAACTTTTTTTTTCTTTTATAATTAAAAACTGTGAGCAGGGAAGAGGGGCAGAGGGGGAGAGAATCTTAAGCTGGCTCCATGCTAAGCAGAGCCTGATGTGGGGCACGATCCCATGACCCTGGGATCATGACCTGAGCTGAAATCAAGAGTAGGACATTCAACCTACTGAGCCACCCAGCCACAGCACCAGTAACTTTTTTATATTTTAAAAACAAGATTTTATTTGCCTCCTGCTTTAGCCTAGTTTTAGGTGAGAAATATGGACTCCCTTCCCTTTCAAGCACTGCATGGAGTTCCCTGGCATCCAGGCACATACATAGAAAAAAACCAGTCACTTAAAAATTGTGAGAGAGACCCTGAGGCTCCCTGTGCTACAGTTTTAGAGAAATCAAATACTCCCATCTGAGGGTCTCAAACTTTGCAGCCTCTGGTGTGGAGTTACTCTGAGGGCCATCCTAGTTGAATATGTGCTGATCCTGATAAAGAAAAAAATTAAGTACTTCTTAACAACTTTGGAAACTTCCATTCCTCGCAGTGGCTTTAGAATGTCATGTAAGACCCACTTGTATTTATAATGAGGCTATGAAAGTTAGAAAACAAATAAGGTTATGTAAAAGATATTATGAAATAAATGATAGGTAAAACTGTCGGAATAAGCATGGTTCTATGTAAACTTGGTAGCTATCTTCAAGGGTATATAAAAGCTCAGAGGCTTTTAAATAGTGCTTCTAATTTAATCAAGCAATTAATGTTCAATTTAGAAAGCACAATCTTTCTAATGTGTGGAATTACACCAAGATATAGATAGAAATTAAACAGTTTTAAAAGAAAAGGAGGGGAAAGGAAAAGAAATTGAACGTAGATAAAAGCTGCTGTGAAATAAAGATTGTCTATTTCAGTTCCTGAATGATATTGGCAGACCAAACACTGATTCTCATTAGTGTCAGGCTTTCTTTGTTATGCTAACACTGAACAGGAATAGAAAAAGTGATTATTAATATTTGTCTTTTATTTTTGACTGGGGTGTGTATTCTTTATTCAGGAAAACACAGACTTCACAATGTCACAAACTCTGAAACCTTTTTGTTTGCTTTTGATTTAAATTAGAATTTAAGTTACCTATCAAAGCACATGGAATCCATTATAGAAAGAACAGAAAATGTATTTTGGTTGAAAGTAATTAGGGAAGGTCTCAAATTATCACAAAAAGAAATAGTAGAAAGTGACTGGACAGGAGAATAAATGTCTGTGGGGAATTGAACTTTACATATGGCGGCTGATCCACACAAATTCAATGTATGATCTATAGGTCTGTATGATCAGGAACAGTAAATGCAACACAAAGTTTTCTAGCCAGAGAACTATGTTACCATGGCTGGCGCTAGGAGCAGAATACTTGGCGCTGGACTTGCGGATGATATTCTCGTGGATCTGGGACCACTCACTCTCGTTGTTGCACCTGCAACAGAAGGACAGGTGTTATGGCTCTCAAGGCTTTTAAACATCTGGTCTGATGTTCCAACTGAAACATCAACTTTGAAGGCAAACTTCAAACTCACTTTCCTGTTTCACTAAATTAGACAAGGCATGTTTTCTGTTAAGGCTCATGGAAGATTCACACTTGGGTAAAGGGTGGAAACTCTAAAATGAATGTCAACAAATATTTTTAATTGGCAAAATATCCTATTCTCTAAAGTATCAATCTCCTACATCACAAGCTTTTCTCTTCTTCTTTTTTTTTTTTTTTTGAGAGAGAGAGAGAGAGAGAGAGAGAGAGAGAATGAATATGAATGAGTGGGAGATGAAAGACAGAGAAGGATACAGAGGATCTGAAGCAGGCTCCAGGCTCTGAGCTGTTAGCACAGAGCCTGACGCAGGGCTTGAATGCACGAACTGTGAGATCACGACCTGAGCTGAAGTCGGACGCTTAACTGACTGTGCAACCCAGGTGCCCCTAAGTTTTCTCTTCTAGTCTCTTACACCACACACACACACACACACACAGTAGGTTCCAGAGGCAAGTTCCTGAGAGGGTAAGTAATAGTTCCTCTAGACAATTACCACTGCCATGCCTTGCACTGACTTTGTATCATCATTCAATAGTCTTTATACTGGCTCCAGAGGAAAATCCTATTAAGCTCAGAGCAGTGTGGATATTTGCTTGTTGCTGTTTCAGCCAGGCCAAGAGAGGAAGAAAAGTTTAGGAGAATAGTGAGTTTGGTCCACTGTGAAATCCTCTATAATCAAGAGGAAGGAAGGCTTAGCAGAAAAGGTTGAAATGTCTAAACATATAAAGTCCTTTCCTAGGGGTTTCAAGATTGGGACAAAAGAGAAAATAGAGGAACAACACTGCACCTCTGTTAATTTCTCTAAAGGGCAATTCCAAGACAGCTACAACCACACAAGTACTTGGTGTAGTTTACAGACAGACACCAGGGATTCCTCATCCTAATGCAGACACCTCAATGAAACAACTGAAATGAGATTATGGTCATCTCTTGAAAATTCCATGCGACAACAGGAGTCTCTATAGCCTTGGCACCCCCTTTCCCTGTTGCATAGGAAGGTATGACTTCCAAAATGTAAGACCCATGCACAAAGGAAAACTTACAGGATTTTTCCATGCTTACTCAGAAGTGTGCAGTCCAGCATGGGCACTTAAATAGGAAACCCCAGTGAGAGTTTTAGCATGTGAAATCATATGGTATTTGAATTTCAGTTTGACTTATTTTACCTAACACAATGCCCTCTAGGTCCATCCATGTTGTCACAAATGGCAAGATCTCATCTTTTTTTTTTTTTAAGCTGCACAATATTCCATTTGTGTGTGTGTGTGTGTGTGTGTGTGTGTGTGTATACCATATCTTATTTATTCATCTATTGATGGACACACCTGGGTTGCTTCCACATTTTGGCTATTGTAAATGATACTGCAATAAACACAGGGGTGCGTATATCTTTTTGAATTAGTGCTTTTGTTTTCTTTGGGTAAACAGTAGTGTAATTGTTGGATTTGGTATGGTATTTCTGTTTTTGTTTTTTTTTTTTTTTGTGGTGAGCATAGCATAATGTATAGAGAAAATGAATAATTATGCTGTATACCTGAAATTAATGTAATGTTGTGTGTCAGCTACACTCAAATAATAAAAAAGATATCAAAGAGTAAGGAACCAAAAAAATAGTGTAAAGACTTAACAACAGAAAAAGTCATCCAGGAGCGTGAAGTACACGCAATGTGAAACACAACTAAGTAAAAGGGTTTGTATAGAAGTCATTCAGAGATAAAGGAAATTAGTCATTAGTTTAATTTTATTACTCTTTGGACTCCTGAGTCAGTATAAATAAGCCTCAGTTACTCAGAGATGTTGCAAAGAATTATCAAAGATGAGGTTCTCATAGTCCAGAGCTGTGAGGATAATTTTCTACTTATAGAATTCCTTCCAAACAAAGGAAGAGGGAGACCGTTCTTTAAGATGAGCACTTGTGATTTAGCAACTCAGTTGGAAATCAAAAGCGAGAGGTGCTGGCAGCAGTACATCCAGCCCTTCCTGTCTGACATGCTCACTGTCTCATCTCTTCCAACCAGTCAGTACATCAGAGTGCCCAGCTGGTGAGGATTCAGACTTGTCTTGCTGTCAGCTTTTTTTTTTTGTCACTTTCTAGGTTTACAAGATCAGTAGTTACTTTCTTTAACAGAAATCTGACTACAGTTTGTCATAAATAACATACTCCCCCTCTCACTGCAAAAGAAGAGTCTTGAAAATTAACTCCCTCCCTCTGATAGATGGTGTAACTTCAGCATTTCTCCAATAAAATATTAATGGTTTTTGGCAGTACAGTGGAGATACTGCTTTGTCAACCACTTTCACATTGACAATGTGTATTACCTCATTGATCTCTCTTCTGCATGGTCTTGGTTTAACCATTATCATCTCTCTTCTGGACCAGTGTAATCACTTCCTAACTGATCTTTCAAATGTCTCCATTTCCTAAATGCCAAGGGGTTACTTAAATCATCTAAAACTAAGTGGATGTGGTGTCATCAGCATATTTTAACCAATCACTAGGGTATTTTGTAAGGAAAAATTATAAATATAAACATTTATTAAGTAATCAAATGAGTTGTGATTATAGAAGCATCATGTTATACCCAATCAAATTAATATTTAGAGCATGATTATTGATGTTGGTAGTTTGTCCTCAATTATGAGACATGAGGGATTATGATTGAAAAGAGGTCTGTAATGCCTCTGTAGCAGTCTGCTCTCACAGAGGAGATAACCAGCATAGTACTTCAACTACTACATGTCCAGGGATTTTACTCAAGGGATAGGACAGAGAGGCGAGAGGTTTTTGGTTTTCTACATGCGATTCCCAAGTATCCAGAGCACCAGAAGCACCGGAGCAGGTGTGCAGGCTCTGTTCAACAGAGTTCAGAATACTCTTCTCATTCACTCATGCACCAGAGCACACAGTAGCATTTGCCTCTTCCTCACCACCTCCTTAACTTTTTTTTTTTTTAAAGTTAACATCCAAATTAGTTAGCATATAGTGCAACAATGATTTCAGGAGTAGATTCCTTAGTGCCCCTTACCCATTTAGCCCATCCCTCTACAATGGGGAGCCCCTTGTAGCCTTCCCACAACTCCTTCAGTAACCCTCAGTTTGTTCTCCATATTTGAGAGTCTCTTCTGTTTTGTCCCCCTCCCTGTTTTTATATTATTTTTGTTTCCCTTCCCTTATGTTCATCTGTTTTGTCTCTTAAAGTCCTCATATGAGTGAAGTCATATGATTTTTGTCTTTCTCTAATTTCAATTAGCATAATACCCTCCAGTTCCATTCATGTAGTTGCAAATGGCAAGATTTCATTCTTTTTGATTGGCGAGTAATACTCCATTGTATGTATATACCACATCTTCTTTATCCATTCATCCATCGATGGACATTTGGGCTCTTTCCATACTTTGGCTATTGTTGATAGTGCTGCTATAAACATGGGGGTGCATGTATCCCTTCAAAACAGCACACCTGTATCCCGTGGATAAATGCCTAGTAGTGCAATTGCTGGGTCATAGGGTAGTTCTATTTTTAGTTTTTTGAGGAACCTCCATACCGTTTTCCAGAGTGTCTACACCAGCTTGAATTCCCACCACCTCTTTAACTTCTAAATTTCCATGTTTATGATGGCTATTCACCCAACTTTCTTCTCATCTTTCCCCAAGGGGAGCAACACAAAAAAATGTTTAAGAAATTTTAGAGGGCTATTTGTAAGACCTTTAAGTTTGCATTTTTAGAAGGGGGCCTACTATAGGGAAGTAGTGGTTAGAGTATATTCCCATATTTTATTTCACTTAATTCTCATAATCCTATAAGATTGGTATTACCATGTTCATTTTACTGAGAAGAGTGAAATGAGCTGGAGTCTAAACATAGGTCTGCCTGGTCCCCAAAGCTGGTGTAGAGAAAAAGAGGCTACAGAGTACTGTAACCCTGAAAGCCTTACTCCTACACCAGGCTTCAGGGTACTTGTGTCCCTGATGTCAGTCAGCATTCCCATTTTGTCTCTACTACAACTATTTAGTCTTGCCTATGGTTTAAAACTTAATTTAGTGCAAATACTCCATATTAAAATTCTCTCCCATTGGGTGCGACCTGCTTTATTTTGGCCTTTATTTGGTTGAAAATCCTAAAAAGCTGGAAAAGAGGCAACAACCTACAGATTTAAGAACACTACTGATGCTGACCACTGTTTTATGTAGTCCTTACTTATAGTGCAAAAAAAGAGAGAAGTATCCAGAAGAACGAAGAAAAACAGCACATATTTCTATAAAAATGGCCCAATTGAACAGAATCTCCAAGACCAAGCTGATACAAATAAACCAATTTGATATATTCTGGATGTGCACTCATAGGCCATGAGAAATTACATTTTTATTTATGAGAAATTTAAACTATTTCTTATTTTACAACTTATACATGTTTATTTTAGCACAGACTTAAAAAAAAGACAAATAGCATGCTCTCTCTCTCTCTTTAATAGGAATACTTAATTTAACTTCTCTTTCCAGGTGATAGAAGGGCTTCTTCCAACAGTAACATTTTTTGGCCCCTTGTAGTCACTTTCCTGGGAGAAGGAGTGACTTCTTTGGCCAGTGCTTTTAGGAGAAGGACCTGGGCATGAACATCTCAGTTCTGCCTCTCCCCTCTTTTGGGACCAACCTGTTTGCAGAAAACACACAATCCCTCTGTGCCACCACAGAGGCTCCACATTGATGATGACTCTAATAGTCTTTCTAATTCAGGGTTCACATTAATCACAAGTTGTAGTGGGTTGAATGGTGGCACCTAAAAAGTATATCCATATCCTAATCCCTGGGACCTGTGAATGTTACCTTATTTGGAAAAAGTGTCTTTGCAGATGTATTTAAATTAAGGTTCTTGAGATCAGTAGATAATCCT